TAAAAAACTTTTCATTGTAAGCTAGCTGCATTCCACTCCTATAAAAAAACCATATTAACTTCCGACAATTGCTACTATTAAATTTGCTAATCTTTAACTGCTAACTATTATCGTTATATACATCAAATATTACTGATCCATGTTTCAAAGTTTCTTATATAGAAGAGTACCTAGGACGAAGTAATTAAAGCTAAGCTGGTTTAAGTTAGGAAAAACTTCATAGATAAAATTGCTCTTCCAATTTGGATGTAGGTCAGTAATGATTTATAGATTTATTTGAAGCAAATAAAGAACTTGTGATTTTGCAAAAAAATCTATATTTTTCAATAAATGTTTAAGGATCCATATGATTTCATCTACGTGTGTGTGTTCCGTGAAAGATCCGACTTGGATCGAGTTCAGATCTATAGTTTGAGATCCGTGAGAGTACGGATCCATATAGGAATCCGTCGTACGGAACACCAATTTCACAAACAAACGTTTTACCGACAAGTCATCAGTAATATGACAATTTAACAAACGAAGAATACATGCTAAAACTAATACGTATAAGCACAAAATAATGCCCAGGGGTGTTATTTTGAGTTACGACCAGAATTAAACTTAATTTTTCTGGTCAAATTTGAAATTACATTACCGGGTGTTATTTCGCGCTTGTACAATAAATATGCTCTAATGATGTGACGATGTGATTTCGGTTGTAAGTGGGAACAGAATTTGAGTTGATGTCGAATTTTTTTATATAAATTGAAAATTTTAGTGAGAAGATCGCAAGTTATGTAGCGACAAAATACCAAATTTAATTAAGAAACTCCAAATTCCGTTCCACTTATAACAACCATAATATTATATATGTGATTATAGCCATTCTTTAATCAACATAGCAATAACATTATACGATTATAACTACAAATCCATTCTTTAAATTTAGTATTTCTTTTCTAAAAAAACATTCATGACATTTATTCTTTCATTAAATGCAAAGTTGTTATTTAAGATTCTGATTTTGATACAATTCGGAATATTTCATATTCTTCAACTGAAAAAGATGAAATATTTGAATCAAATAAACGACGTTTTTTTGTAGATGGTTTTCTAATTGGTTTTTCGTAACTTGAATGCTCACAATAACAATCACCATTTTGAGCGAAAAGAACAAGATCAAAATTAAATACATAAGTATCCTCCTCCACAATGCCACCAAAAGCCGGTCCACAATTACGAGCACTGTGAATTGCATTTTCCCACACTTGCACACGACTTATAATGGATTTTTGTCGTGTACTATTTTTCAACGAAAAAATGAAACTATCATCACATTCTTCAAATTCTCCATCGCCTTCTGGTTTATTCCACCCTTCTGGATTATATCCACCAAGAATTTCATCCGTGCCTTTAACTTTTATAACTACAACAACTTCTTCTATCCCATTGCATAATTTCCAAAATGCTTTGCTGGTAAACCCATCTCTACTTCCACGAAGAAGTAAATCAAACTCATATGGATTATCTTCTACTGAATATGCTTCAGATTTCCAATCAATCCATGCTGCAATTTCTGCTGCATCTTCTTCATTAATAACTTTTGAAAATTGATTAATGGCCCTAATTGGTGGTAAAACTATACGGTGAGGAAGAACCATCGATATAATTTGGCTATTTGGTTGCTCAAATTTTTTGTTAATATCATTCCAAAGTTCTTCATCTAAGATTTGTTTGTATGGTTGTACATTGTTAGTAATGTCATCTTCTGACATTTGAAAATAACGGATAAGAGGCAAACAATGTTGCAAAGTTGTCTTTAAGGCTTGAAAATTTTCGTGTGACCAATCCTTATGATCTTCGGGTAAGCCTGGAATTTGTGCAATTCCCCATTTAATAACGGATTTCCAAACTTCTACTTCTTTCATTTGTAAACTATCATGTCCGATGAGCAATACTAATGCTTCTTCTTGAAGCGTTGTGAATCCTTCAGAATCAAAAACTTTTTTAGGGTCCCTTGCTACAGTTTCGTTACACCATTTTTGCAACTCTTGAAGATAATTATTGTTAGAAACTATTTGATGAATATGTGCAATATTTGTTCGAAGCCAATAATCCTTTTCTTTAATCATAATTTTCAAGATATTTAACTAATTCTTCGAGAAGAAATACTTGAGCAACGAGTGTGAGCTCAAAGATAAATGATTCATCAAGGTTTTCAAATAATAAAGCTCCTCCGTAAATATATCTTTGTTGAATGGTATGGTTAATAAATCTAATTTAAATTAACGTAGTTTTTTACGCTTGAAATAGACGTTATATAAACTGATTTACCTAATAATCATTTCAAATTGTTGAATAGGTATGTTTTTTAATTGGATTATTTTATTGTTGTTTTGATCTTTACTAACATTTGGCAATTCATTTCGAAAATATAAGGACCTTTGTTTTAAGATTAATGAATGCGCTTGAAAACTTTTAATGTTTAGAGCTTCTTCAACATTAATAATTGTCGGGGATGATGCTGAAATCGGATGATGCTGAAATTTGGGGACCTTAATTTGAAAATATCAACCCTACTAA